TGGCTCCTTTTTAATGTGGCCTTTATGACACTCCCACCACAGTATGGGATCCGAGTCAGGCGGTCTAAGAGTCAGGCTGCAATGGCACCTTCTAAATGTGGCCTTCATGGCACCTCCTTTTCGTGGAATCAGAGCCAAGTATGACGGTTCGCCTAGATGCGGCTTCCGCCATGCCAGATACCCTTTTGCTGTTGGTCAAAGACCTGGCCATTTGCTGTGTGAACCAGAGGGTGTGGGATGGAACGCCAAGGTGTGAGATTGACTGTGCCATCCACCTGCCCCCTCTTCCGACTCCGGCCTCCTTGACTCTCTCTTGACATCGGGTCCAGGTAAGGGGGAGGAGAGAGTGCGGTAGATGGTGTGCAAGTCCATATTCACTGTAACCTAATTCACGCATAAGTCATCGCCCCTGCTCCACCTTTCTGTCGGGCCCACGGTGGAAATAGTCGACAACGATGGTCGAAGTCTCGTATGTGCGCCCCCCCAAACGGTACACGTGGTATATGCGCTCGACTAACACGGGAACCATTGCGGATTCTGGGAGGCGCTATAGGATTGCCCACCATAACAAATACCAACATTTCGGGATGCGGTAGCAGGCCCGGTTGCCGGCAGCCGTCGCACACATTGAGACTCCTACCATCCCCCCCCCCTTGTTGTTGGTCAAAAACCTGATCATTTGCTGTGTGGGCCAGGGGGTGTGGAGTGGAGCGCCAAGATGCGGGGTCGATAGTGCAATTCACCTGCGCCCGCCACCACCTCCAGTCTTCTTGACTATGTCTTGACACCGAGTCGAGGTGGAGGGGGAGGAGGAGTGTGGGAAATGCTATGTAAGTTTACATTCACTAAAAGCTAGTTCACAAATACAGTGAGTGGCCGATCTCATGAAATGTTGGCTGAAATTCTGAAATGCGTTTTCGATTAGAAAGGATTACTGGATCGCGGTTGTAATACTGATTAGTTTAAGGCATACTCATAACATTTCGCACTCAGCTGGATGTCGGCTTTTAAATGCACTTCTTTTCAATCCCCTGTAAAAAGCGTACTCGGTAAAAAATGACTACTTAATTAGCATGCATTTTGCCAATCGATTTTCGATGGTCTTAGAAATTCAAATATATTTTATAGAAATCATAAACAAAAATATGCTTTATTTTAGTCGATCAATAGAGAAGCACGCCTTTTTTATATTTTACACTTAAAGAAAGGGTATAATTAAGTTTTAAAAAAGTTTTCTAATTGCCGAATAATTTGGAGCCTGATCATTCGCTGCATTAGCGCTTAGTGATTTCACTCTACAAGGCGCATGCGTTCCTCGTAAAGAAAATCACATATTTTTCTATGCCATTAAAGAGATATCATACAGAGTCCATAAAATTTTTCAATGGACGCGGACCATGTTGTACATTTCATGAGGAGCAGTGGTAAACCTCCAGGTACGATGCTATGTGAATTGACATTTAGCGGTCTTTAAAAGTCTCATAATTAGAAACTTTTTATAAAAATCTAATTATACTCCATCTTTAAGTATAAAATATAAAGAAGACGTGATTCTCTATGGATTGACTAAAAGAAAGCCAATTTTTGTTTATGGTTTCTATAAAATATATTTGAATTTGTAATACCATCGAAAATCAATGGGGAAAATGCATGCTAATTAAGTAGTCATTTTTTACCGAACACGCTTTCTACAGGAGATTGAAAAGTAGTGCATTTAAAAGGCGACATCCGGCTGAGTCCGAATTTGTATTCGAGTATGACTTAAGCTAATCAATATTAGAACCGCGACCAAGTAATCCTTCCTAATCGAAAACGCATTTCAGAATTTCAGCCAACATTTCATGAGATCGCTCACACAATTTAAGTCACCGTCTCTGCTTCACCTTGCTGTGGGACACACGGTGGGCATTATCGGCAACGACGGTCGAAATGTCGGAACTGGTGAACCAATCTCTGAGCGATGGATTTACAAGGGACTGACCAAGCCAATGCGTGCTATGCATGTGAGGTGGCAATATGGGCAGGATAGGTTGATAGCTGTTGATTTGGTTCTGGTGTTAATTCTGCTAGTGGTGACAACGTTGGTGGGGGGTGGGGTTGGTAATGCTGGAGATTCGAGAGTTGTCGAATGTAAAATATAAGCCTGGCGGCGAATTCCGCCGTGTGGACATTCATGTGGCCGTTTAGGCCCATTCCGCAAGTCAACTACTGGCAGAAGTGCACGCTTGTGCTTTGGCTGTGGGTTTTCTTAAAGTAAATTGCCAATTGTAACCTTATTTTACATAGTAAAAGTATCTCTTTGCTTGTGTGTGTTAGTCGGTGACGCCGTCCACTGATTGCGTCCGCATGCCGCTCTAGCAAGTGAAGTCTTACGTTGCCTGTGCGATTTAACAATTAATTAATCCTCCTTCTCCCTTGTATTGAAACATGGTCCTTTAATAAAATCTTGCTGAACTTTTAATCATTGGAAGCCTGTGAGAAAAAAGACAGTTTTGGGTTTTTGTTTTTTAGTCAAATGAGGAGTTACCAATACCAGGATTTCAACATTCTTTCAGTTACAGGAGATGTTCGTTCAAAGAATTTTTACGCATTACAACGAGGAGTCTCATGTTTTACCGACGCAGCCCCTAACACACCAGTCCGACATCCATTGACCGTAAAGTACAGTCTTCATACACCAGTCCGACATCCATGACATCCATTGACCGTAAAGCAAGGTCTTCACACCCTCTCCTCCCACCATCTCACAGAGGCCTCACCTCCTGACCTTTCCAGACACAAAGTTTCACTGTCCCCATCCAGTGACCGCAAAGTACAGTCTTCACACACACGCCTCCCACCATCTCACAGAGGCGTCAACTCCTGACCTCTCCAGACACATAAAGTTTTCACTGTCCTCATGCAGTCTAACACGCGGGTTACAGGCGTAGGTACGTTCAGAAAGCTGCGAAGATTCACCACACATCAAGGCGGTTAGATGGGATCACAGTAGACCTGTTAGAATTTCCAGCCAGCACGAATTAACAGGTTATGCCATCGGTAAATGATCACGCCTTCATGATTGCATCATGCTGACAATACGCCTACGTGCGTGGTTTACGTGCTAGACTGTGTGGGGGTGGACACTAGGTGCCTAACTAGGTCAGGAGTTGAGGCCTGTGTGAGGGAGGGAGAGGGTGGGGGGGAGTGGGTGAAGACTAGACCGTGTGATTAAAAGATTTCATGGTTGCCGTACCTGTGTGTTAGGGCTATTGAATAAGACACCCATTGATCCCCAAACGGGCTACGTGGTAGATGCGTTGGACCAACACGGTAGCCATATCGAGTTCTGGCAGGCGTTATCGGAATGCGCACCATTACAAGTGCCAAAATTTCGGCTTACGGTGGTAGGCCCGGTTTCCGGCAGTGGTCGCGCACATTGAGACTCCTACCCTCCACCCATTTTGTTGTTGGTCTAAAATCCGGTAAGATGTGGTTATGCAGTCACGCATGATGGACATAATACTGTTGGGTGAGGGTTTAGGACTGTGGTTAAGGGTTATGGTGAGCGTTAAGGTTAGGGATGGGGTTGGTAGTAGGACGTAGGATTATGGTTAGGGGTTAGGTGTTAGGGTTGGGTGCTAAGGTTAGGGGTTAGGGCAACTATTTCTCAACCGCGAATCCCCAATAGATTTCCTTTTTCATACAATTGCTTGATCTCGTTGTCTGTGCGTTCCCCGGTCCCACCTCTAAAAACCCCTATTACCACCGGTCCCGTATTACAGGTGGTTGGGGTTTGTTTACCTCAGGTGGGGCTACATAACCACATCTGGTCTAAAATCCTCATTAGGCAGTCCCTATAAGATCTTTCCAGTTATGTGGTTGGTTTCGTCAAGCATAAATGCTGACTTGTAGATAAGGCAGGCAGTGAGCGAGTGTACATCATGCAGGCGGCGACCAGGCCATGGTGATAGCATTTTAAAGTCAGCGTGTGTGCGCGTCTGTAAGGTGACCCAACGAGTAATCGAATTCGCACGCCAGTCCTGTTTGAAGACAGTGAGGGTGCGTGGGAGGGACACGAAGCAGCCAACAGATAAAACTGACGTTTTGCATGGACCGATGTTGCGAACAACTGTAAGTCAGGTGTTGTTCGATTGCTTAACTCTGAAACGGCCTAAAGGTTCCGTAGAGTAGCCAAATACAAAGATGAAGGTCGGTCCTTATTTCAAAGCCGTACCTGCAGGAGACAACCCCCAGCATAACCCCTAGATCTAGCTCCCAACCCTAACCCCTAACAGGTACGGCTACGAACTAGAATCTTGCCAAGATGAAGTATGAAGGACATACTTAAAGTTGAGCAAGAGCATTTTCAGCTGTGATAATTTGGACTTGCCAATTTTACTTGAAATACTCTACCAACCTTATGGGAGAAGTAGTTATAGAGTTGTCCTAATATTCCACGAGGTATCAGCTTTGGTCCAGACCCGAATCTCAAATCATAGCTCCGTGTTTGTAGAGAAGAGCAATCCCTGTCGCTAACAGTGCTAGTTGCTGATCAGAAATTGCTCCTAGTACCTGCTGGAGGAGATAAAAAGACGGGGATAAAAAGAATCAGGACGAAAGTTAGCAATAAACTCCTCCCTCCCTTTCAGCGTAGTTGCAAAGAGCCTGGACTGCCAGCCATTGTAATTAAGCCGCAGTGTCCCTTCTTCTGGCGCCTATGCGACATCGAGCCACTCGTGCATATCAGTGACAATTCGGTTGTTGACCAATCACGGCCATTTAAACCGACCAATCCACTTCAAGGCCGGCACGGACATGTCCGCGCTTGAGGCGCACAGACGACTGTCGCGCTGTCGCACGGTTCGCCTAATCTCGCGTCGACGGACGTGTGAACCCGTCCGGCTGCCAATCTATTACCTCCACAGTCTTCACGGGATATGATGCTCTATCTATTGGAGTCCAAATTCTCTTTGGGACCCATCATGAAAGTCGCGGTAGCTAGGGTCTTCCTATGGCCTATGTGCTCGCAACAACGCTACTTAATTGCTTGTGGTGGTGGTGGTGGTGGTGGTGGTGGTGGTGGTGGTGGTGGTGGTGGTGGTGGTGGTGGTGGTGGTGGTGGTGGTGTTGACGATGAAGGTTAAGGTGGTGCCTAATTAATTGGCCAATATGCTCCTCCAATAATAGGGTTATTCAACATTTGTTTGACTATCATGTGATCAGGAAGTCTAGCCCTCCTCAACAATAGCAGGTATTGAGAGACCCTGCAGCACACGGGATTCCCAAAAACCAGAAGATCTTTAAACGCCGAAAAAAATCATGACATACGATGTTAAGGGAGGAAGTTACTTAATCGAGGCTACAGTGCGGGCAAGCAAAGATGAACATCTTGAGTTTCTTTGTACATCGCCTTAGGATCGCTTTCGATAGAAAATCGTCCCAGCTACCCAGAACGATCTAATTCAAAGCAGTCTGATATAATTACAGGAAAAGAACTTTCCTTAAAGGGGTTCGCAAACATAGTTTGTCCGTCTTTTCATACCCATATCGCTAAGAAATCAGTCAGTAACCTCACATAAATGCCAATAATTTAACCCCACACCTGCCTACAACAACATGACGGACACATGCCAGGTTGCGGCGATGCACTGCTGTTTCGGATTTATTCTGTAATAATTAATTCAGACAAAACATCACCATCCGGAACCAGAAACGCAAATAAGCGCATACATGCAGTAAGCAAGCTGTCGCCAGGCCGTGTCTGCCAGATGGGTCATATGGGCTTCATCGCACCGAAGTTCGTCAATGCCTCACCACCCGGTAGTATCTGTCGCCATAACTCGGGTAATTATTGGCGTGGGTGTACACGCACACTGGACACCCATTCGGAGATTTTTTACCTCGGAAGTAGACGGTTCGATGTGCGTTCAATCCTGTGTGGCATGCCTGTGCATTTCGCCGGTGCGTGTCGATCAATAATTTCAGTCCTCCATACAGTACCAGTATGATAAAATAGGGCGGGGCTAGGGGCACCCCCCCCCCCCCAGCGTGTCACCATGCGCTAAATTCCGGGACGATAGGGTCACCGTTTTGAGGATCGAGATTGGGCTACCCATAGGCAGTATTATGGTTAGGGTTACAATTGCGAAGCGGGAATGGGTACCTCCGTTGGAATTTAGTGCAAAGCTGTGGCGGCTAGCCATCCTGACTGGTCTGGTTTCATTGTTCAAGACCTCGCTGCCTCAAGGTCACTCGCCTCTTGCAGCGAGCCGTCCCAGACGAGCTGGCCTGAAGCCACTCGACCGACTTCAGCTCGGACACACACAGCGTCGCGGCTACCTATGTGCCACTTGAACGCGTCAGCCCCTGCAACCAGCAAAACAAGGCACTGGCACTCCACCCCTCGGCAAATGTAACACACGCTGACTGGCCACCACTTGAGCTTGGCCCACGAGCCTACAAAAGCGGCTGCCACCATTATCTCAAGGACTCTCAGGCCTGACTGGACGCAGTCAACACTAGCCCTGGCTTCGCCAGTGGCCACTGCCGCCTGAGAGGACAACACCGGGTTCTGTGCACAATAAAACCCTTCATGCTGGTGCCTTTTGTCTTCTCCCTTTCAACACTGGGATTCGACCTGGCGACGGTAGCGCACAGACTGCACACACACCGCCTAGTCGCTACAAGGCCACGGTTGTCCTCATTCCCATACGATAGTGACCACTGACATTAGCGTCGTGCTTTGCGGAGGGGAATTCAATACGGCATTTCGAACGTACGAAGCTCTCCTTCGCGGCGAAAAGGTGGATATTTGGGGAGTACACATTTCGAGGCATAAGTGTAGCCTCCGAATGACCTGTCTGGTAAGGCCATCTAGGAAATCTTTGCCACTAGTCAAAAGCAGCCTGGTTGAGATCACTCACTGAAAATGTCCTCAGGAATTTTTCTGGGAGAGTTTGAAGGATTTGATTTCGCCTGGAAAAAGACATTGAGGTGAATTTTTCGCATCTTAAGTGCTCTCCAACAGTGTTGTCGAAGCACTGCCTTTTTGCTATAAATGCAAGACAAAGGAAGTTTTTCAGAAAAATTGAGTTGTGGTACACGTTCAATAGCAAAACAGGCAACAATCGGGAGATGGCACCCAAAAAATCCGTTACCTAGAAATAATACCTTTAACAGTGGACTCAAACGCCTTCTGGAAATATCAGTGGTTGCAGGCCTACTTTCACGCACTACTTGGACTTTCCCCGACGGCCTAACATGGGCTGGCCGAAAGAACATCGCAGGAGGTTACATGGACGACGGTCGCTGTTACCCAACCTTCCCCATCGTTACACACGTACACTTGAATATACGGCATACATTCGCATTATGGCAGTTTATTACAAAACATGAACACTATTAAATAGGATATGTCTGCACAACATGGGGCTGGAACAGTTCCCAGGCATCTGTCAAAGACATGGCATTGAGGCCAAACCAAAGACGATACTATACTTCGCTTATGTGAGCCCACACAGCTCGATCAGATACAGGGTCTCCCTCGTAGAGTTTCCTTTTCAGTCTACTCCAGTATGCCTCAATGACATTGGTGTGCCGTCCGGTGGTAGGGTCCTTGAAGATCTTTGAGTGGTTAACAGAGGAATGTAGATAACCTTCTGAGGGAAGACGATTATACGCCTTCCACTCGTCCGTTAGCACTATACTGCATTTGGCGACCCACTTTGTATTAACGGAACGGAGAGCGGGCCAACTTCGATCAATCATCTGTTCAAATAAGGCTATCCGTCGGCTAGTATCGTACATCCCGACCAGCCACCACCCATAAAACCCCTATTACCACCTGTCCCGTAAGACAGGCTGCTTTGGTTAGGCGGATTTTTCGGGTGCCATCTCCCGATTGTTACCAAACAGAATAACGGAATACGACAAAATACCCGGGTAAGGTGAAAGGGCAAGAAGGATAGGGTATTGCGCATTTGCAATGAACTCTTGTTTAACCATGGTCAAATTTCCAACAGGCAATCAACACCTACAGACGAATAGGTATGCGGTCGCTGTGGTCAGATGTGGTTTAGTAGCCGCACGTGAGGTAAACAAACGCCAGCCACCTGTAATATAGGACCGGTGGTAACAGAGGTTTTTACAGGTGGGGCCGGAAGGGACGCACAGGCAATGAGGTCGAGTGATTGTATGCGAAAGAAAAGCTATTGGGAATGCGCGCTTATAATTTAAGTGGTTGAGAAATAATTGTCCTGATCCCTAACCCTGACCCCTAACCGCAACCCCGCACCCTAGCCCTGAAACATCCAACGCGAAAATAAGAAGGAGATGACAGGCCGAAAGACAAGAAGGACCACCGGCATTGAACACGGCAAAAAAGAAAGAAGTCCGCCAACACAACACACACTGCGGCGCACATCAACAATATGGCAACAAAATCACACCAATTCAAAATAATTAAGTGGATCAAAAGTATTGTGTCCATCAGGTGCGGTTGCATAACCACATCCTACCAATTAATGATTTCTACACATTGGATTATGTAGGTGAGGAGGGAGGGGTGACAGAGAATGCGGATCGACTGATACAGTGTTGTTTCGGGTTTATTCTGCCGTCATTCAGCCAACCGTAACTCTGACCACCAATTGGAACCAGAGGCAAAAAAGTGCGCTCGTACACGGTGAAGATGTCCCACAGCCGAGGTCCAGTTTGTGGTCTATTCATGACCCCTGCCACCCATGCGGAGTTTATTTGCATCGGGAAGCCAATAGATCAATGTGTGCCCATTCCTGCTTTAATAAACACCCGATCTGCAGCGACAGAGAGTGACAAGTGGCGAGGCACTGATGAACTTCGGTTCGATGAAATGCTTATGACCCATCTGGTAGGCCTCAGTGGTGGGCCGACTGCGCCAGGTGCGTCTGTGCGCATGTTTGTGTTTCTGGTCCCAGCTGCTGGTGGTCAGGGTTATGATTGGCTGAATGAAGGCAAAATAAGCCCGAAACAGTGCTGTATCAGTCTCCCCACATTGTGTGTTGTCTCTTCACCCTTCTCTGTCGTTCCTCCTGTTTGAATAAATCCTCGAGCTGCAGTGACAGAAGATGGCAGGTAGCGAGGCACTCATTAACTTCAGTTTGATGAAGTGCTTATGGCCCATCTACTAAACCCTGTCTGTGGAATATCTGCGTCGTGTATGAGCGCATATTTTCGTTCCTTGTCCCACTTAGTAGTCAGGATTATGATCGACTGGATGGAGGCAGTATAAGCCTGAAACTGAACTGTATCAGCCTACCCGCATTCTCTGTCGTCCCTCCCTTCTCTGCCATTATAATTTGTCCGAATTCGGCCTGAGAGTTGGTTGCCTGGTTGTGACCTTGTTTGCCTTGGGAATTCAATAAATCAGTGTGCGCCAATTCCTGATGACATAATGTACCATTATAGTGTATAGTTAAATTTACAGAGAACAATGGAGATTGCATGCGTGAGAACAGTACGGGCAAGTTTGCGAGACCTGGGTGCCATTTGCTAAATTCGATTTGATACTGCTTTATACTTTACGATATATTTCAAACACTTATGCAATTGGCAATTGGTTACGGTCAACACTGTGTCTTTGCAGATTAATTTCAGTGTTCAAATTTCGTTGCATTTCTTTTTGCCATTCAAAATTATAAATGAAATCTGTTTGTCAATCTTAGATGGTTGCAGTGCACGACACCTCCCTCATCATTTCTGACGATCAATCTCGCTGTACTTGTTTTGCGTGTGGTAAGTGAGGTTTTAACTATCGTTTTCGAATATCTGCCGATTTCTGAACCTTCGTTTTATTAGCCTGTGATCAAGCAATCTGCCAACTGTTCTGAAGTCCCATCATCCTCACCAGTAACACACGGAAATACCAAAATTGGAACATCCTAACAGAAATTTTCAAAAATCTTCAAACATCAACGGAAATCATCACTGTGCTGTTAAAGGGAAGATGCCACCTAATCGAGGCTACCGTAAGAATTAGCGAAGATTAGCAGCTTGAGTCCCTTCATACATCAGAACAGGATCGTTTTGGGCGGAAAACCGTCCCAGGAACCCAAACCGATCTTGTCCGAAACAATCGGTGGTAATTGGTGCGACGTTTCGATTTCCTCTTTTGATTGCCCAATAGCGTCAGCTAATTTTTCTGGACAAACCTTGGCAAAAGATTCGTTTATTAGGTTCGTTTCGTAAAAAACACATGTTTCCTCATAATGCTACATCTCGGACTGAAAATCTGGCAATTTCAAAATTGTTTGGACATTTTACTATGCTAAATATACAGTCTGATTGATGAAATTATGCGGTAGAACTGTGGTGGTATACATCGGCGTCGACTCCCTCTTACTCCGAGTGGGTAATATATTCATTCCCCAGATTGCCTTCTGGGCTCGTGACGCTTAAGCATGACCTCATGCTTCGGCAGGCTTTCTGACATTGATTAGTCATCTTTATCTGCTCCTCATTCACATGTACATTTTCTTATATGCACACCCATTGGCCTATTCTACTTATTGTATACAGACTTTTCCACCCTTTGCTTAAGAGAACTATAATGATGAAGTCATCTGCACAATACGCTGGCGCCGTCTAGAAGGAAATCAAATCTGACGCGAACGTTGCAAATCGCTCACCAACGATTCCTCATGATTTCGACGGCGGCTAGATCGCAGTTGGTAGCCAGGAATGGGGAAGTGGACGGCGACCTTAACCCTTCATCCTAAGCCCAACCCTAATGTCAACCTTAAGCGTTAACCGTTAACCCTAACGGCAACCCTAACCCTAACCGAAATCATAAACGTAACCGTAGCCCTTAGCCATAGCCGTAACTGGAAGACCTAATCATAATACTGAAACCTAACCGTGCGTTCAAACCCTAACCGTAACCTTAAAACCTAAGCCTAAAGGCATAACCCTAACCCGAAAATCGGAAACCATTAGACCGTACCCTAATCCTAACCTCAAACGTAAAACGGAAGTCAAATGGGTCCAATGTGATAATGGAGTCCCACAAACTAGCCCCGGTAAAAAACCCCCCAGCCACCTGCAATACGGGGCCTGGCTACCAACTGCGATCTAGCCTCGACGGCTACAGTTTTCACAGTAATTACTCGTGGTCTTCTGGTGTCATCTGCTTTGCGTACGCATTTGATTCATTATGAATGGAGGCATTTTTGATGGAAATTTTGGAGTGATACATCTCCCCCTTTCAACGCCGCCGTCTCACAAGAATCTCCTCAGTCTAATACCATCGGTCTAACTTCATCCCATGACCGCGCGGGGGAGGGTAGGGTGTCGGCTAGCTTACCCAACAGGCCTTAACACGCCGGTCCGGCAACCATGACATCTTTTAATCACACAGTCTAGTCTTCACCCAATCCCCTTCCCACCACCCTCTCCCTCTCTCACGCAGGCCTCAACTCCTGACCTAGTTAAGCACCTAGTGTCCACCCCCATACAGTCTAGCACGTAAGCCACGTACGTGGGCGTATTGTCAGTATGGTGGGATCACGAAGGCGGGATCATTTACCGATGTCATCGTCTGTTAATTCGTGCTGGTTAGATATTCTCACAGGTCTACTGTGCTCCCATCTAACTGCCTAGATAGGTCCTGAATCTTCGCAGCTTTCTGAACCTGTCTACGTCAGAAGCTTGAATGTTGGACTGCAGGGGGACAGTGAGCACTTAGTGTCTGACGAGGTCAGGAGTTTAGGCCTCCGTGAGGTGGTGGAAGGAGAATGTGTGAAGACTGTACTTTACGGTCAATGGATGTCGGACTGGTGTGTGTGTTCAAACGGACATCTCCTTTGACTGAATGAATGTCGAAATCCTGATATTAGTAACTCCTCGTATGAGTGAAAAGCAAAAGCTGAAAGCTGCCTTTTTTCTCATAATAATGCTTCTTTTCTACAGCAGACCGACTTTACAGTTTTGGTTTGCTGAAGGATTGAGACTATGCGGCAAGAAATCTAGATAGACACGGAGAGAGAGAAAGAGGGACTTAGAGAAAGGGCAGGCTTCTATTGTGTGATGATTAAAAGTTCAGTAATATGTTTATAGAGGACCATCGTTCGATACAGGAGAGAATTATATTTAATAATTTGCATTGTTGAATCGCTTAGGCAACGTAAGACTTCACTTGCTTCAGCGGCATGCGAACGCGACCAGTGAACGGCGTCGCTGACTAGCACACGAGAGTGCGACCGTCGGTTTCACTGGTGTCCACCGTGGGCTCTACAACATGGTGGGGCAGGGTCGGTGATTTGGCTCGCATCTTCGCTTTTATCCGCCGAAAGAGCAACGCTTAGGGACTCTAAGCGTATATCTGCTAATTTCTGAACCTTTGTTTCATTACCATTTGATCGAGAAATCTAAAAACTGTTCTGAAGTCCCATCACCCTCACCACCAGCACACAAGCATCTCTAAAAATTGGAGCACCCTAATAACGGGTGTCGAAAATCTTGAACCATCGACGGAAATCATCACTAGGCGGTTAAAAGGAAAGTACTACCTACTCGAGGCTACAGAAAGGATTAGTGAATATTAGCAGCTTGAGTCCCTTCATACATCACCACAGGATAGCTTTCGATGGAAAACCGTTTCAGTGACCCCTGCCGATCACATCCGAAACAATCGCTGGTAATTATTGTCGAGTTTCGACTTCCTCTTTCGTCTGCTCCATAACGTCGGTTAATTGTTCGAGAAAAAGTTTAGCAAATGGTTTGTTTATTAGTTTCGCGTTGTAAAAAACACTTCCTTTTGCCATCCACACTACTCAGGGTGGGTAGAGTTCGCCAGATTCTTTCGGGCTTGTGCATTTTAAGCATAACCTCATGCTTCGGCGGTCTCTTGACATTGAGTTGCCCTCTTCATCTGCTCCCCATTCTCATGGGAATAGGTGCCAATAGGGGTTTTACTCGTGGGGCATTTAGACGCGCCAAAGAAAAGGCAGCAAACTGGTAATATAGAAAGGAGCATTTTCCGGTGAACTGAGGAATTTGAAGGAGGTGAAACCCAAGTGCAAATGACGACAATTTGATAATGTATGTGGGGCAGCTTTCGGAGAAAGTCGGTTTATAGGAAAGGAATACGAAGATGCGGATGGAAGACAAACAGCCAATAGGAATTGGCAACGCGTGGCCAAGGCCAGTCGCATGGCGTACAGAAAAAATGATAGAAGGCGTGGGAAAGGATCCGGTGGCAGTCAAGGAAACGGATAAGGCAGGTGATGAACCACAAGACAAGTGCATAATGCTAAGTTTAAGTAGGTTGCTCTGTAATAATGATAATAAAAATATAAATAAATTACAGACAACAAGCCAACACTTTAAAATGCAACGACAACGCAGAACGCATCTCCAAACCAAAAATAAGGCTGCTTGCCTGCACGTCATTTAACTTTTCCGCTGTATATACTGTGCAATTTTCTTGAGAACGTCAACGACTTTCCTCCTGTGCCTTTAACGTACATAGCCTAGCCACTCGTTAGATTAGAAAATACGAGGAGTGTAAGCAGAACGGGAAGGGGTTACAGGTGCATTGTGCATTTGCTCTAATCTGTGCCTTTGGCATATCTCGTTAATACATTTAGCACATACCTCAATAGCACCTCTCCAAACTATATCATTTTAACTTAATTACGCCTACTCAAACAATTCAGTAGGTCAACAGTATAATATTTCTCAAGAGCGACTGCAGGACAAAACCTGCCGGAATTTCTTATTTGTACACCCGTTGGCCCGTTTTACAGCAGGTGTGCTAAGTCTTGAAGTTGTTGGGAGTGCCTACACTTCCAAAATAAAGAGCCAATCAAACACTGGAGACCACGTGTGCTTGCTCTTTCTACAGCTCTGCCATCTTAATCGGGCGTCTCTCCATTAGCTACTCCCCTCTTCCCGATGGTCGTTGGGCCGGATGCCGACGAACCACAGTAGTGTGGTATAAATATGCATCACCTTTCAGCTAGTCGCGACTTGCAGTGTGTTTCTAAGACACTTTCCGAGACCGGCCGTGTTTTTTTGTCTGCCGCTTTGGCATTGGGGACAAGGGTCAAGTGCGAATAGGCTCCAGGGGATGTCAAGTACCAGGCGGGTCATAACAGAAATGTTGACCGGAATTCTGAAGTGCGTTTCCGTTTCGAAAAGGTTACTTAGGAATGGTTTTAAAAGAAGTCATTGTACATCATGATCTATAATACTTCTGATACCTCGGATGCCGGCTTTTGAATGAACATCTTTCCGGCCGCATGCGAAAACCACGCTCTGCAAAAATGACCACTTATGTAGAATGATTTTTTTCAAACTGATTTTCGATGTCCTCAAAAGTTCAATTGCATTTGCTGGAAAACATGCATAAAAATATTCATTCTCTTGCTCATATAGTAGAAAATTGCGTTCTCTTCAAATTTCTTACTTGAAGAAAGGGCATAATTTGGCTTTCAAAATCTTCTCCTATTCCCAAATAATTTTAAATCCAACCTGCTTTTGCACTTGCATTTAGGGTTTCCAAACTACAAACCATATATTTTTCAGTACGGGGAACCATTAATTTCTCTATGGTAATAAAACGAAGCCATAAACGGAGTTTATAAAGTTAGCAGTGGATTTGAGCCGTATTGTAAACTTTACATGCAACATAAGTAAATGCAGAGGCACGATGTTGTATGAAAGGACATTTCGCAGCATGTAAACTCTCATAGTTAGGAACATTTTAAACCAAATTATACCATTCCTTCGAGTATAAAATTGGACGAAAACAAGATTTTTTGTCCAATGGGCAAAAGAATGAATATTTGTATGCATGTTTTTTTATGAAATATAATTGAAACTTTAAGGGCATCGAAAATCAATGAGAAAACTTCACGCTATACAAGTAGCCATTTTATACAGAGTGCGGTTTTTGCAGGCGGCGGGAACGATTTTCGTTTGATAGCCGGCATCCCGAGATATCTGAATTATTATAGAATTATACTATACGATCCCGCTTTGAAAACCCTACTTAAGTAATATTTTCGAAACGAAAGTGTTTTACAGAATTTTCGGTTCACATTTCATGAGTTAGCACACCTACTATACTTACTGGGCATTAATTTTCCATCTCTGCTTAACAGGACGACCATGCTAAGGTCATCCGCACACTATGCTAGCACTCTATGGAAGGAAATCAAATTTGACGCGAAATTTTGCAAATCTTTCATCGACGATTCCTCATTATTTCAGCAGTCACAGTTCTCGGCAGTTACCATATGTGATCTTCTGGTGTTATCTGTTTTGCGTACGCATTTTATCCATTATGAATAAGGCATTTAGATGGAAAGTTTGAAATGATATGACCAAAATAATGCCTATGTCTCCCACTTTCAACGACGCCGTCTCACAAGAATCTTCTCATCCCAATACCATCGGTCTAAATTCATCCCGTGACCGCGCGGGGGAGGGGAGGGTGTCGGATAGTTTGCCCAACCGTCCCTAACACACCAGTCCGACAACCATGGCCTACTTCGATCACAAAGTCTAGTCTTCCCCCACTCCCCTCTCCCCACCCTCTCACTCTCTCACATAGGCTTCAACTCCTGTCCTCGTTAGGCACCTAGTGTCCACCCCCATACAGTCTAACACGTAAACCACGCACGTATGCCTATTCTCAATATGATGAGATCATGAAGACGTGATCATTTACCGAAGGCATCGTCTGTTACTTCGTGCTGGTTGGATGTTCTAACAGGTCTACTGTGGTCCCACCTAACTGCCTAGATGTGTCTTGAATCTTTGCAGCCTTCTGAACGTACCTGCGTCTGTAATTTACGTGTTAGACCGCATGGAGACAGTGGTTCGTTTATTGCAAAGCCACCACCTCGGCTTTTTCTTGCACGCGTTTGTGTAGGTCTTTAGAGTAGTATGCTGGCGTCCGGTAGATAACTTCATAGGTTTCTTTGGCGCCGCCTTGGTGGTTCGTGCCGATTAGATGTACGAGAATTGAATTTGGAATCTATAGATTTTCCCCTTTACCTAGCCAGGCAGCCATACGTTCGCGTACCCTCTTTTCTAGACGCCTCGTTGTACGGTCGGTGTATCCTGCTGCACGGGAATAGGTGAATGAGTAAATACCTATCGATTTGGCCTAAAACGGCAGTCGGTCTTTGTCCCCTCCCCGCGCCGCAAAAGGAGAGAGTGAAGTGGATGCAGCGAAAGTCGACTACCACAACAAAATAATTCACACGCAAGTCAACGTTCGGGTGCCCAGAATGCCATTAGATATGATAAGGGAATGATTTGCCACTGGAGTAGGCCTAATAATACAAAAGACTGGTTACTGCATGGCGTTGTTCAGTTACGTTTTGTTTTTCGAAAACCTGTTAGGATTGGCCTGCTTGTTTCATACTCTTGTGCTATTGACCTCGCAGACAACCGGCCCGACGAGCAGGCGCTACAAATTGTCTATATAGACTCATTATCGAGCCCCTCAACCCGGACGTGTTAGATGTCATGCGTAAGTTTTGTCCGCGATCGAAGATATGCCAAAGACTGGGTATTTTGAGATTACTTTATTCTGTTTCTTCGGCCGCTGGTCTGCCTAAAGACAAGAAGTTAGTTTACGGTTTATCGCTATTTTAAACTGTTGCAGCTAACTTTCACATACAGAAACTGATTTTTATATCCACATGGACAGACTATAATTACGCGATTCGATATTCTGGGCGGGAATTTCTTTCTGATGCCGAGATCCTCCATAAATACCACGACTTATTTCCATTACACATACCTATTTACCTATTTGCAAGCCATGTCTCTTTACACTATTAGACTTGTATTTTCTAATCCATCATACTTACTGCCACCTAGATTAACTTGTCGTACATTCTTCTTGTTTTCTGTTTTGTTTTTTAGCAAATTCTTGACTGTCATTGCGTCTCCTGGTATAGCTCTCAGCCTGCGTTATTTGCATATCTGATTGCTTCCTGCAGTAAACTTCGATTGGCGACTAGTTCCCCTGGAACATGAGCGTCCGTTTTTTAGTTGACAGCAGTTTAATCAGTTGCCTGAATTACCTTGACTACTGTTTATAATTAGTCTTTTGAATTCGTGCACCTACTTACTGTTTACGTTCTAAGCACATTAGAAGGTTCCAGATGTTATTTTACATTTTTTTTCTCATTGTCGATTTCTCGATTTCCTTTTGTGTGCGTCCGAAGGCCCTACCCGTATAAGCTCTTTTACCACCATTTACCTTAGACAGGATCCTAAGGTTCTCCGTTGCTGACCCCGGGGACCAACAATACCCTCGCTATAAATATGGAGTCTGGCTTCTGTAGTTATATAATAGAAATGTGGTAGTATACATCAGCATCAACCCCCTTCTACCCCGAGTGGGTAAAGCTTTAATTCCCTGGACTATCTTCTCGACTCGTAATTTTTAAGCAAGAACTCGTTCCTCGGCGTCGGTTGGCGCCGTCATCCGTCTGGAGGGGGTTTAATGGCCAACATGCTTTCCTGCAATAGCACCTCTTCTGTTCTCATGATTGGCGCCGGCCAAAACACATTTACGCCATCGCAGACCGTCAGATGGGTAACTATAATCCAGTATTCGGAGGTGGAAATGTCGGTCGAGACTAGTGCATTTGAATCTCACACCAACCTGCCGCAATGATGGCACGCGGCAAGTCACGAGCCGATGCCGTGACTGGCGGAGAGAACTGTGCTGTCCCACTAGAAACGCTGCATACTAAGGCCATCAACTGCATGGCACTGCGTCGTCTACAGTCTAACTTCACTCCGGGACGGGGGTGGGGGCGACGAGTGTCTCGCTCGACAGACACTAACACACCAGTCCGACAACCGTGGCACCTTCTCTCTAGCAAAGTCTGGTCTTAATCCATGCTCCACACACTGTCCTACACGGGCCTCAACCCCTGACCTCGTTAGGCACCTACGGTTCACTTGCCCGAGGCGTCATCTGTTACTTCGTGCCACCTCGATATTCTAACAAGTTCGCAGTAATCACAGCTCATCGTCTAGCCGTGTCGTGAATCAGTGAATTTTTTAGAATGAATATTTTGCCGCACATACCTGGCAATTCACCACCAACTACTGTCTTTCAGCTGATCCGGAAATTTAACCAATAGGCTTCCTTAGTTTCTTGCGATCGCCAGTGAGCTCTTTTGCTTGGAGTAGTGGCTAAACAATCCAACAGCAACAGAACTCATTGCGAATCAATCGAAAGTGAAATGAACTTCTACTTAATACAGTGATTGTAGATTTGGTTTACTGATCAACAATGACACCGAAAATATGTTTCCGTGTTATCCTGGGTGTGGTCTGCCTTTGCCATTTGGTAGGTTCATGCCACGGTACTCTGTTATACATGTAAAGAAGTTTTCATACTTGAATATTTTTTAGTTTTTTATATAATCCAGATTGGTGTGCTTGTGCCTCTATAGTGAATCATAAAATAATTAGCAAAATTACCGGGAGAGATCGTCAGGCATGTTTTAAGACACAGCTCCTGATGTTAGGTGATTCTAGCACATATGAGGCGAGTCAGTAATACTGGCTCTCGGTTTTGGAGGTTGAGGGCAAAAAAGTCGCCTCATCGAAGGCTACTTTTACAACGTTAGTCGGATCAGTTAGAGCTTGTTTATCAAAGTTAAACCCCGGTGTTCATCTAATGTGAGACATGTCTTCATTTGAAAATGCAAGAAATTAATAATAATTAAAGTCAGCAGCCCTTACTTTGCCATCTTAATGCAAATAAAGAGGGAGAGAAAGCTAAGGGGAAATTGAAATGGCCATCCCTGAATTATTTGCCGCCATCAAACAACCACATCAAGTGCCAGCAAGGCCATGGATAGGAACGCTGTGTGGTATTTAACTCCCGGGAGATTGGGGTTAGGGTTTAAGTTAGGGCCAGGATTAAGGTTCTATTGGAGTTAGGATTAGGACACTGGAATAGGTTCGCTTAGTGGAATTTAACGGAAGGCCACCTATGCTGCGGGTGTTGGCTCATATTCCCATGTCTCTCTACCGTTAGAACAGAAATTAAGATCCTAATTAGACAAAATTTTCGTTTCTAAGTTGCACATGGCAAGCGATTTACTAAAGAGCTCCCATTCAAGCTTTAACTCCCTTTCTCAGAAGAGTTAGTTTGCCTTAGCAGACCCACCGATACTAACCCCAAACCCTAACCCTTAAGCCTAAGACCTCCGAACCCTAACCCACATCCACCCCACCCTTCGGTAACGTACTTACCTTTCAACTGTTAACCCAACTAACCCGCGACTGTCCCCATGTACCAAAGGCCGAAAATGCCCACAAATCTACGGTCAGCGAAACCAGTTGAGAAGTTATAAACTGACATCCAAGTAAGGCCGCGTTTCTGATTCACATCCCAACTCGTCTTCTCATAGTTTCCAATGTTGTAATATGTTACTAGTAATTGTATGGACTATAAGGACACCAGAGAATAAATGACCTATTAGCCGGTAGGTCAGACAGGTGCTGAAAAATACCTAAATCAAGCACGTCACTTAACATAGTACTTAACCAAATGCCCACCTGAGACATGAAAAGTGTTTTAGCCATTTGCCCAGAAGCCTATTTCTTGCAACTTTTAACTGCTGATTGTTTCTATTTAGGCCATTGGAATCGTGGGTATCGTGGTCGGCACCATTGCGAGCGAACCTGCTCAATCATTTGGTCTGTCCAGTACTGCATTCAGTATTCAGCGCATGCTGATTGGTCTTGGCGTGCTGCTTGTCCTACTGGCCATCCTTGTCGGTGCTAGCCTCTTTTGTCGCAGTCGAGTTCCTTTCTTGACAGTACGTCACATGCGCTTTCTGCCCAACCTTAACAATCACGCAGTTCTTAGTTCTGTCGATCCTGACCGCCATTGTACACATTGGACTGGGCATCTACACTCTCATCCTTGGAAGTCGCGTAAGAATGGCTAGCCCGTTTATTTAAAACCACACACTCTCTCTCGCACAGGTCACTGAATTCTTCAGATCCCCCCTCACGGATAAACTTTTTCTTGATCCAGCCCTCATGAACACGTTGCAGAGTACGGTAGGTTAATTCAGCAAAACATAGACAATATCTGACCACTAGTTGGAATGCTGCGGAATGTATTCTGTCAACTATTATTACTTCCTATGGAATTTGCCAGAATCGTGTTGTCCAGGGAACACCGGCTTCTGCAGTGTATCAAATGCCTACTCAGTGGTGAGTTGCAGTTCTTCAACCAGGCCCATTTTCTCTCGTTGCTTTAATACCGTAGAGAACTACCTAAGGTGTACAAGGACTTTCCCCTTGTAGATGCAAGAAGTATAAATTACACGTCCGATTATAAATATATAGCACTGCAAAAGTCCACCACCGTTATGAACCAACTCACGCGTGAGTCACCAGCTCTGCGTCCACCGCGTTGTGCGACACAGATAGACTTTGTCATTAGAGACGATGGAAATGTCATATATTAGAAATAATCAGCGTTTAATCGGTTCCTATATTTCCTGGAATGACAGAATTACGAAGCTGCCGTAACGGACACAGGTAGGCGTAGGATGCTCGAAGGTTGGTTTCATCTTTCAGAGAGTAGAATTCAATTAAATCCATATTTCGAAATTGTGAGCAAGAATTACAGAATGAAATTTCATATACACTGTACTTCTGTTTTCTCAATTTAGGGCTGCGCCGAAAAAATACTGAATATAATATCTCCGTTCTTTAAAGGACTGAGCGCATTCCTCATATTGCTATGCATTGTGCAGATAATCCTTGTTATTGTGCTTTATGTAATTTCGCCGAGAAGTGAGAAAGAGACGGATAGTAAGGAGGTCTCCTATTCATAGGACTGAAAACGATCATGACAGATTATTGCTGTTGTAGCCATACATAATAAAGGTGAATTTTAACAGTGTGTATATTTTGGATTTTGTGGGGGTCTGTAGTAGGTGGGGTGGAGGGGGGCGGGATGAGAGCGTGGTGGTCCCACTGCGAGGGCCTGTTTGACCTCTGCGCTTCTGGCGCGTACTAGCGGCGGTTTGGTTCTCGGCCGAACACAGCTATGCGAGCCAACCAATCAACTTCAAGGCCGACGCGAACGGTCGCCCAAGGCGCTTTGACGGGTGTCCCACTGCCAGGCTGGATTCTCGCTAACGCGGCCCGGCAAGTGGGCTCTCCCGCGACTGCCGACTTGTGCCAACCCCTTTTTCCGTCTGTCTGTACAGAATCCAACATCCCCTTAACTGGGGTCTAATTTCTCTCCTTATTCTGGACCGGGCCCGAAGGTTAAAGTGGCCTCTGGCTTACGCTGACGTGACAAGATCGGTAAAAGTTTACATGTGCTATGTAACGCCAAGTAGGCCTTTGGCAACGGAAGGATGTATGACCCCAACTAACATGAGGTAGTTTGTGGACCGTGCAATACGTTAAATAGTGGTAGAGAGGGATTTATATGTGGGGCAATAAGCAGGAAGAAGAGCAGGAGAAATGCAAGAAAACACGGAAAATAAATTTCTACCGAAAGTCTTATCGTATGCTGTCATATGGCAAAGAAAATGAACGCGAAAATTTAAAAAAAAATAGACAAAAAGTGTTTTCTAAAAATGACAGATTTTAAATAAACCGTCGCTGGCAAGTTTACGTTCAGTCAGGAAGCCAAGAGTCCTTCAACCAATTGGAGAGGTGAGTAATAAGTGATGTTTGGGGTCACACAGAATTTTAGTGTACATGTTGGGGATACCAGCTAATTGGGGTCCTGCACCCTGCAGCGTGCACAACAATCCGTGGAAAATGGCAACGCTAGAAATGGCCATTCCAGTCTCTCTTTCCTTTGCCGAAAATGCTATTGTGTGTATAATGCACGCCGCTGTGCGGCTCTAGTTGGGCTCGAGAGAGAATGCTCAAAGTCACAACGGGACGAGTGACTTCCGTAACACTATCGGTGGGCGCCGACTACCATGGTCTATTTGTACATATTGAAAAATTCAAAGTAAGTAGGTGAAGAAGACAGTGTAAATAGGAAAGATATATTGGAGAAGAGTACTTTTTAAGTAATTATTTTTTCCCAAAATTGCAGATCATCAACCACGGCAAACAGGAAGACTACACAACCACACCAAGGTTCATGCATGAAAACTGTAGAAATAGTGGAAACTATTAATTAGGAGGAGATTTTGACGAACTGCCAGACCAGAGGGCTACTACCATCGGCGCTGACCTGCCAGTGCACACGCCAAATGCGTCTGCAAGTCAGGAGACAGAGCACGGGCGGCTATTTGTTCGGTGTGCACGAGGAACAAGGCGGAAAGCACGTAAAACCGGCTCGGAGTATGAGAAGAACCTATAAGCAATCGGAACGGTCATGAAGATTTAGCTGATATTTTTGCAGGGAACAAAGGTCACTAAGTGTAAAGACGATTTTGAAGTGTACCATATGACGATTGTCGAATGGTACGCAGTCTGTCACAACGTCTGTTCTGCCGCTCTCGTGAGGGAAACCGGTCAGATTGGAGGCCCCAGAGCAGAAGCGCAAGTTAACGAAATGCCCATTTGCCGCCGAAAGTACAACGTCAGCAGACGTGGTTGCTGGTCGGCATGTTTGATACGAAACGAAAGACGGATCTGTTTGAGAAGGTTAACTATTGGAGCTGGACTGCCCAGATTTCCGTTATAAGGAATTGGGTGGCAAAGGGAAGTGTCATCATAACTGATGAGTGGAAAACATACAAGCGCTTACCGTCAAAAGGATATGAGCCATTCTCGATTAATCGTTACAAGAATTTTCGCGTGCACATTTCCAGGTTTGATTGCTGACTGCTGTCTGGAAGACGATCAATAGAATCTGAGCTTGCTTACGTCCTACTAGCACACACAGTTGTTGAAATACAGAAAAAAATTCTGACTAGTTCTCGGAAAGCTCGCATTTCCGTTAATACAGCCACTCTAAAAATATTCTGACGGACAACACGGCCCAATATGTATGGTTTCAAACTACCACAATCCATTATGCTCACCATTCTTTACAAACGAATATTGCAAACTAATCTGAAGTTTAAAAAACTATCTAGGATTTTGCTAACAAAGTTTTTGTCATACAGTAGATGCGCTAACTCATGAAATGTCAACCAAAATTTTGAAATGGATTCTCGTTTCGAAAAGATAAAGTAAGTAGTGTTGTAAAACTAATCATGATGCAGCATAAATCTATAATGATCCAGTTACCTCGGGGTGTCTGCTTTCGAAAGAATTTATTTTCGACTGCATGAAAGATATATACTCTGCAAAAATGACTACTTAATTAGTATGCAATTTTCTCATTGATTTTCGATGCCGTTGAAAATGTTATTATATTTCATGGAAAACATATATAAAAATATTCACTCTTTTACTTATTTGGTTGAAAATCATGTCTTCTTCCAACTTCATACTCAAAAGAAAAGTATTATTCGGTTTTAAAAAAGTTTCTAATTGTGAGATTTTTTAATACCGTTAAATGGCCATTCATAAAACGTCATGTATCTGCATTTACGAATGTGGCTTGTAAAGTTAACAATATTGCTCAAATCCACTACTTAATTTTATCAACCTCATATGGTCTCATCTTAACACCGTAGAGAAATGCATACAATATTATTTACTTAACAAGAAACATTCGTAAATGCAGATACATGACGTTTTATTAATGGCCATTTAACAGTATTAAAAAATCTCACAGTTAGAAACTTTTATAAATCGAATTATACTATTCTTTTGAGTATGAAATTGGAAGAAGACGTGATTTTCTACCGAATTAGTAAAAGAGTGAATATTTTAGGCATGTTTCCCATGAAAGATAATTGAATTTTCAAGGGCATCGAAAATCAATGAGAAAATTGCATACTAATTAAGTAATCATATTTTTCAAAGTATAGATCATGCATGCAGCCGAAAATAAGTTCTTTCGAAAGCAGACACCCTGAGGTAACTGGATAATTATTGATTTATGCTGCATCATGATTAGTTTTACAACACTACTTAATTTATCTTTTCGAAACGAGAATCCATTTAAAAATTTTGGTGGACATTTCATGAGTTATCACATCTACTGTATGCATAAATGTGGCCTCCGAATGACCTGTCCGTTGAAGGCCATATGAGACATCTTTGTCTTCAGTCTTAAAAGTCTAGCTGAGATCACTTTTCCCTGAGAATTAATCGAAACCTAAATGTCAACGAACTTTACAGGCCAATCTTCTACAGATAGCCCACCTCGGCCCTTTCGGATAGAGGCAAATTACTTATGGGAGAACATGGCCTGTAGGCATAAAAAGGAAAACTTGGGGAAAACACGATGATTGACATTCCGTAAATCACATTTAAACCCATCACCAAAGGCGGAATCAGATAAGGCTTATGCGCACAGACTAAAGGCAACTACGAGGCCGTAGGACCCACTGCCACGACAGGAAACGTCTGGGGTCATCTACCGCCTCGACAACGGTTGTGAACAAAGCTAATACGTCTAAAAATCTAAAGGACTACTTGCGACGCGGATGATGGATCAAGCCGTGGCAGTGAGGAGGAAGGAAGCTAGCTACGAGTGGCACTCAGTTCAACGGGATCCGACGATCATTCAATTTCGATGAGGCCAAAATCGCGCAAGAGGTGACAATCCTACAAGCATACAAGGCTGTTGAAATGACAGACTTTAAATAAACCACCACTGGCAAGTTTACGTTCAGTCAGGAAGCCAAGGATCCTTCAACCAATAGGAACCGTTGGCAATAAGTGATGTTTGCGGTCACACAAAATTTTGGTGCACATGTTGGAGTTGGCAGCTAATTGGGCTCCTGCACTCTGCAGCATGCAGCACTACCCGTGGAAGATGGCAACGCTAGAAATGGCCATTCCAGTCTCTCTTTCCTTTGCCGACAATGCTATTGTGTGTATAATGCACGCCGCTGTGCGGCTGCTAGTTGGGCTCGAGAGAGAAAGCTCAAAGTCACAACGGGACGAGTGACTTCCCTAACACTATCGGTGAGCGCCGCCTACCATGGTATATTTGTAGATATTGAATAATTCAAAGTAAGTAGGTGAAGAAGACAGTGTAAATAGGAAATATATATTGGAGAATAGTCTTTTTTAAATAATTATTTTTTTCCCAAAATTGCAGATCATCAGTCACAGCACACAGGAAGACTACACCACCGCACACAGGTCGATGCACAAAAATGGAAATTTTTAATTCGAAGAGGATTTCGGTGATCAGTCGGTCCAGAGGGCTACTGCCATCGGTGCTGACCTGCCAGCGCACACGCCAAATGAGGCTGCAGGGCAGGAGGCAGAGAACGGGCGATTACGTTTTCCGGTGTGTACGAGGAAGAAGGCGGAAAGCACTTATGACCGGCTCGGAGTATGAGATGAGCCGATTAACAATTGGAAAAAACATGAAGAGTTAGGTGATATTTTTGCAGGTACGACTGGCCACTAAGTTAAAAGAAGATGTTGGAATGTACCATGTGACGGTTGTCGAATGGTACGCAGTCTGTTGCAACGTCTGTTCTGCCACCCTCGTGTGGGAAACCGGTCAGATTGGAGGCCTCGGAGCAGAAGAGCAAGTTATCGAAATGCCCATTAGCTGCCGAAAGTACAACGTCAGCAGACGTGGTTGCTGGTCGGGATGTTTGATACGAAACGAAAGACGGATCTGTTTGAGCAGGCCAACGATTGGAGCTGTACTGCTCAGATTTCCGTTGTAAGGAAATGGGTGACAAAGGGAAGTGTCATCATAACTGATGAGTGGAAAACGTACAAGCGCTTACCGTCAAAAGGATATGAACAAGTCTTGATGAATTGCTCGAAGAATTTTGACGTACACATTTCCAGGTTTGATTACTGACTGCTGCCTGGAAGACCCTCGATAGAATCTGAGCTTGCTTAATTCCTATTATCATAAAAGTTGCCCGAATTCAGAAAAATGCTGACTCTTACTCGGAAAGCCCGTATTTCCTGAAAGGTATTCTGACGGACAACAAGGTCCGACATGCATGGTTTCAAACTACCACAGTCCATGATGCTCACCATTTTCTGCAAACGAATATTGCAAACTAATCTGAAGTTGAAAAAACTATCTAGGTTTCCGTTAACAAAGTTTTTGTCATATGCATAAGTGTGGCCTCCGAATGACCTGTCTGTTGAAGGCCATATAAGACGTCTTTGTCTTTAGTCTTAAGAGTCCAGCTGAGATCAATTTTACCTGAGAATTTATCGAAACCTAAATGTCAACGAACTTTACAGGTCAATCTTCTACAGATTGCCCATCTCGGCCCTTTCGGATAAAGGCAAATTACTCAAGGCAGAACATGGCCTGTAAGTATAAAAAGGAAAACCTGGGAGAAACACGATGATTGACATTCCGGAACCACATTTAAATCCATCACCAAAGGCGGAATCAGATAAGGCTAATGCACACAGACTAAAGGCAACTACGAGGCCGTAGGACACATTGCCACGACAGGAAACGTCCGGGGTCATCTACCGCCCCGACAACGGTTGTGAGCAAAGCTAATACGTCTAAAAATCTAAGGGACTACTTGTGACGCGGATGATGGATCAAGCTGTAGCAGTGAGGAGAAGGAGGGAAGCTAGCTCCGAGTGGCACTCAGTTCAACGGGATCCGACACTCATTCAATTTCGATGAGGCCAAAATCTCGCGAGAGGTGTCAATCCTACTAGCACACAAAGTTGTCGAGATACAGAAAAAAATTCTGACTCAAAATGCTCGCATTTCCGTTAGCAGAACCACCCTGAAAGATATTCTGACCGACGATAAGGTTTAATGTGCATGCCTTCGAACTATCACAGACCATGATGCTCTCCCTCCTCTGCAAATGGATGTCCACACATTAACTCGATGTTTAATAAGCTATGTGGGGTTTCGTTGGCAAACTTTTTGTCATAAATGTGACCTCCGAATGACCTGCCTGTTAAGGGCCACCTAGGAACTATTTGCCATGAGCTGAAAGGAGCCCAGCTGAGATCACCTACTGAGATTGTCCTTGGGAATTTACCGAAACTATACAGGACAATCTCCCATAGGCTGCCCACATTGACACTTTGAGATCGAGACAAATTATTCATGGGGGAAACATGGCCCACTTGCTGCTATGCTTAAAACCATATGCCCTTTCACAAATGCCGTCAATGTTGCTGCAAATATGACAAGAAAACCTGAAGAACACACAGTGCCTGAATCACACTCAAATCCATCACCGGAGACGAAATCAGGCAAGGCTAATGCACTCAGACCGGATGCAACCACGAAATTAAAGGGTCCGCTGCCACGGCAGGAAACGTCTGAAGTCATCTACCACCTCGGGTGAAGTCGCGGAGACAACAACTACGTGGGAGAAACTGGAGTAGCAGCCAATTCGAGGGGATCCGGCTGCACATCTAAACGTGAGGTGGTCGCAATTTTCGCGAGAGGTGACAATCGTGTGAGCCGCAAACTGTTTAAGTCATGGCTTTCTAGCCTTTATTTGGGCACCGAGATTAATGACGACTTGCCGACATATTCTGTGTTGAGACCTTGCTTTGACGGAGTGAATGACCACATGGGGAGCGTGCTGGTGACCACTGTTCACAGTCCCAATGTCGGCGATTCAAATGACACAGGAACCCACACAAGTGATGCAATCCCAGTGGGTCATGCCTCATATGTGTGCAGTTAGGCGATTATTGAACCACATGCGGCCGTCCGCAATGATTTCCAGGATCGACAAATTTTTATTGGAGGCATAGCAACTGCATCCTATAAACAGTCCAGCACTCCCCTTGCTTGATTGAGCCTCTGATGATGCATCCGAGTGTGAATCCGAATCTTCCGGCAAGTAAAACTCCTGTTCCAGCGATCGTGCCTCCCTCTTTCTGACTGCCTTCCCGGACTCGCACCTTGCTATTTATCCGCTGAAGGAGCAACGCTTAAGGACCCTAAGGCCTTTGCCGCGTCGTACGAGTTTGAGGAAGTTGACTTTGCGATGAATTTCACATCTCAAGTATTCTCTTAATGCGTTGCCTTAATTTTACCCCCAATGCAAGACGAAGGGAGTTTTTCAGAATTTATTGTCCAAGTGGAGAATTGAGCTGTGGCGCACATTCAGTAGTGAGATAATAAGAGAATAGGCCAGAATACTCGGGCAAGGTGAGGGAGTAAGAAGGACAGAGTATTTCACACTCGACTACCCGGATCATGCGTAATGAACGCTTGCCTAACAATGGTCAAATTTTTAATAGGCAATCAACGCCTACGGACAAACTGGTACGTGGCCGGTGTAATGGGGGCAGGGGGAGGGGAACGTCTGTCGGGTCAAAAGTTAGAATTTGAAGTATTTAACTACTCCTTTTCTCAATGAGAACTGCCAAAATATGTTATAGCTGTTGACAGAGCTGTTCAGCTGCGTCTTAGATCACGGTTTTGAGTGTAAAAGTGTCCAGCGATTGTTTACGTGACGGACTTAGTAGGTCGTTCGCAGGCAATCAACACTTACAGCGGGTGCGATGGGGGGAGGGGACAGAGTAACATCTGTCGGGCCAAGGTTAGAAGTAGGAGTATTTGACTTTTAACATGCTGAATATGCGTTTGAACCCGCCAATGGGAATGCAGTAAAATGATAAGATAGAAAGAAGTACATTTAGGTTAGTGTAGAAATTTGAAACAAGGAGTGCAAATGGTAAAAATGTGATAGTGTATATGTAACAGCTTGTGGAGAAAGACAATGCGTAGGTAAGGAATACAAAAATGCAAAAGGAAGGCAAACAGCCAATAGGAATTGGCAACACGTGGCCAAGTTCGTTCCGCATGCTGTACAGAAAAAAATGATAGAAGGTAAGGGAAGGGATCCGGAGGCAGTCAAGGAAACGAATAAGGCAAATGACGAACCATAAGACAAGTGTATGATGCTACGTTTATGTAGGTTGTTTGTTATAATTATAATGAAAATATAGATAAATTACCAGCGGAAAGCTAACACGTTGAAATGCAACGGCAATGGAGAACGCAATTCCAACCCATAAACAAGGCCGCTCAACAGCACGCCATTGACTTTGTCTACTGTACTTACTGCAGTTGCGAAATTTTCTTGAGAACGTCAACGATTTTCCTCCTGTGCCCTTAACTTGCCTAGCCTAGCCACTATCTGGACTATCTGTGGCAAGCAGAACAGAAAAAGGGTGCAAGTGCGCTGAGCACTTGGCCTAAGCTGTGCCCTTGACGTACCTAGTTAGTGCATTATGCACAAATCACTACAGTGCCCTTCCAAAGTATATCATTTCAACTTAATCACGTCTACTCAAAACAGTTCAGTAGGTCACTAGAATAATATTTCTCAAGTGCGACTGCAGGACAAAACCGGCCGAGGTTTCTTATATGTACATCCGTTGGCGTATTTTACAGCAGGTGTGCTAAGCCTTGGAATGTTGACCGGAATTCTGAAATGCGTTTTCGTTTTGACAAGATTACTTAGGTATGGTTTTAAAAGAAGCCATCGTGCAGTACAAGTCTGTAATAATTCAAATACCTCGGATGTCGACTATCGGAAGAACACCTTTCCGGTCGTGTGCGAAAACCACATTCTGTAAAAATGACTGCACACGCAGCATGAATTTTTCCCACTGATTGTCGATGTCCTCCAAATTTCTATTGCATTTCTTGGGAGACATGTATAAAAATATTCATTCTGGTGCTCATTCGGTAGAAAATTGCGTTCTTCAAATTGCGTACTTGATGAAATGGCATAATTTGTTTTTCAAAATCTTTTCCAATTCCCAAATAATTTCAAATCCAACCTACCGTTGCACTCGCGTTTAGGGTTTCCAAACTACAAACCATATACTTTTTGCGTAAAGATAACCATACATTTCTTTACGGGAATAAAACGAAGCCATGTAGGATTCATAAAATTTAGCAGTTGATTTGAGCCATATTCTAAACTTTACAAGCAACATTAGTAAATGCAGGGACACAGTGTTTTATGAACGGGAATTTGGCGGCATAAAAATCTCATAATTAGCAATTTTTTAAAACCTAATTACACCCTTCCTTCAAATATAAAATTGGAAGACGGCAATTTTTCTATCGAATGGGTAAAAAATGAATATTTTAAGCAGGTTTTCCGTGAAATATAATTAAAATATTAAAGGCATCGAGAAGCTCTGTGAAAAATGTACGCTATATTGGTAGCCATTTTATACAGACTGCGTTTGTGCAGGTGGCCGCAAAGATGTTCGTTCGAAAGCTGGCATCCAAAGATACCTGAATTATTATAGAATTATTCGTCATGATGACCACTATTAAAACACTACCCGTAGTCTGACCGTCCCGGTTCAGAACCCAGCATGACTCCCCGCCCGCATTCCTCCTCACACACTTATGATCCGCCCGTCAATGTTTGTCCTGTTGCGTTTACCAGTCTAGAGTGACTGTCCCACTCTCTCTCTCTCTCTTTTCTATTCATTTCGTCTGAAGACGGATTGGTGTCACGAACTCGAAAATTCACGAGTACAACTGGATTTTTTCCGAAGAACCTCTTCCTTTTTCATTATATCGTCTCGGAATGCATACCATTTCTAATCTGCATATATATAATGGTAGGGGGCGATCGCCGATCGTTTCTTCGGAACTCACTCGTTCCGTTGTATTATAAGGGCTCTCTCTCGAGCCCACCCAACAGCCGTATAGCGTCGCATGATATAGGCAGTATGTTATTACCGACAACGACATGGGAGACTGAAATGGCCATTTCTGGTTATTTAGCCGTCGTTAGCCAGTCGGCTAATAAGCCAGAAATGGCCATTCTAGTCTCCCTTGTCTTTGTCAATAATAACATACTGCATAGGCATATATCACCATACTGATACCATCGGCTGCACAGCGTAGTGTCTTACAAGGACTAAATTCATCCCGTGGTCGTGTGGGGGAGGGGAGGGTGTCGTATAGCCTACCCGACACACCCCAACACGCCGGTCCGACAACCATGATATTCTTCGATCACTAAATCTGGTCTTCACCCACTCCCCCCCCTCCCCTCCATTCTCCCACTCTCTCACACAGGCCTCAACTCCTGTCCTCGTTAGGCACCTAGTGTCCACCCCCATTCAGTCTGACACGTAAACCACGCACGTAGGCGTATCCTCAATATGAGGAGATCATGAAGGCGAGATCATTTACCGAAGGCATCGTCTGTTACTTCGCGCTGGCTGTATATTCTAACAGGTCTACAGTGGTCCCACCTAACCGCCTAGATAGGTCATGAGTCTTCACAGCTTTCTGAACGTACCTACGCCTGTAACCCACGTGTTAGACTAAATGGGGACAGTAAAAACTTTATGTGTCTAATGAGGTCAGGAGTTCAGGCCTCTGAGAGACAATGGGAGAAGTGTGCGTGAAGACTGTACTTTACGGTCAATAGATGTCGGACTGGTGTGTTAGAAACTGCGTCGGTAAAACATGAGACTCCTCACTGTAATGCCGTGAAATTCTCTGAACCAACATCTCCTGTGACTGAGTGAATGTCGAAATCCGGACATTGGTAACTCCTAATCTGTCTAAAAAGCAAAACCCCAAAACTGTCCTCTTTTTTGAAAAATTCAGTCGGTAAACGTAGGTTTTCGGTGATTCATCGTCAGGCCACTATATTTACATGGAGGCCGAACTTGTGAGTAATAGACAGGATTTAAGTATGTCTCAAGGGCAGGACTATTTACACACCTTGTTGTCACGCAGTTTGTCTGACGGAGTGAGCATGCGAAGGACGGTGGAGCTGGGGTGGGGTGTGCTAGAAGAGGAGGGATTCGGTTATGAACGCTGTTTTTATGTCAAACACGCGGAGTGCGTGAGACTCTTCTCAGGGCGTAAGGGCGACATGCCATCAGCACTTGGATTTGGGGTCGGCCACGGAAGACAGACTGCCTGTGTCAACGTCTTCTGACAAGAAAGAGAGCTGGATTCCTTAATCGAATGGCCACCACCTCGGCTGTTTTAGCCGCCGTTTTTGTAGGTCTTTAGAGAAGTGTGCTGGCGTCCGGTAGATAACTTCATAGGTTTCTTTGGCGTCGACTTGGTGGTTCGTGCCGATTAGATGTACGAGAATTGAATTTGGAATCGATAGATTTTCCCCTCTAACTAACCAGGTAGCCATAGGTTCGCGTACCCTCTTTTTTAGACGCCTCGTTGTACGCCCACCGTATCCCGCTGCGCAGCATTGGGTGAATGAGTAAATACACATCGATTTGGCCTGCAACGGCAGTCGGTCTTTGTCCCCTCCCCCCAGCCGTAGTAGAGAAGAGGAGAGAGTGATGTGAATGCAGCGAAAGTCGACCACCACTACAAAATACTTCACGCGCAAGTCAACGTCCGGCTGCCTAACATGCCGTGGGGCGCACGATGGGCATCGTCGGTAACGGCAGCTGCAATGTCAGTTTATCATCTGACCGCAGGGTGATGTACTATCCCACAGTAGACGGCCAATATACCGCACGGCCTAAATACCGTCAGCTGCCATATTTTGTGTTGAACTACTGTGGAGACGATAGAGAGGACAGGATAGAGAAGGCGATCGTCCAAGTGGTGTATTTTGTGCCCGACATAAACAAACGTCCACTGTCGCAGCCAAATAATGCAGTTTGGGAGTCTGCGCATTCTTCTACTGCAACTTCTTCTGCTGGCGGTGCTTTCGAAAATCAGCAGAATCCGTCCTTGCACACTCAGCAAATGAATGCATACCTTCTGACTGGGGTTCTTACATGCGATTTCATGTTTGAATTGGAAAAGTGATTTCTAACTAGCATGCAACGCTTACTTGTCTGGTGAGGATGATGATGATGATGATGATGACGACGGGGATGACGACGATGATGATGATGATGATGATGATGATGATGATGATGATGATGATGATGATGATGATGATGATGATGATGATGATGATGATGATGATGATGATGATGATGATGATGATGATGCCTAACTTACTGGCCAAAAGGCCCATCGAATAATATGGTTATTCGAAATTTGTTTGAATATCATATGATCAATACGTCTGATAATCCTCATCAGTAGCAAGTATGGAGGGATCCTCCAGCATTCGAGATCTCCAAAAATGGAATACGCTGGTAGGAAATACCCACAGAATTGAAACGTCGGCGAAGATCATCACATATGCGGCCGTCCACAGTCCTGCTCGTCAATTTGTGTCGCTGCCCTTCTGCCTACACCACGCGACATTTGTCATAACTCCCCTGTGGTCTTGAAGCCAATCAACGGGACTCCTTCGCTGATTGGTTACAGGTGGACACAATGAATCAGTGGGTGACAACAGGAAGTGCACACACACGGGACGCAAGATAGACCTGGATTGGAAGGGTTGAGATCGGTTGATGATCACCAACTTGCTTTATGACAGAATGTGGGTAACCGAATTCTCCGTATCGCGGTTGTGGCAGTTCGCGTCTCCTCGCCCTCCGCCTTCGTCATGCTGCCGTCCTGTCCTCCTCACACTTCGTGTCGATACGCTGCTGGGACGCGCGAGTACTCGAAGTCAATCAACGCTGTCCCCACTCTGATTGGCTGGCGACGTGGAGACAACGAAGGGCGCACACACGCGCTGAACACCCTGAAGGCGGACACCGACAACAGCTTGCTTGGAGCGCGCCCGCAGCGACTGCCTACAGAGCCCTTGTGTACGCACTTCCTCAGGCAGTAAAGGTCGTCCAACTGAAACTGTCTTTCCTGACTTTTGATTGGGAACCTTTATCTTGTCGACCACACAACATTCGACATGGTCACATCAGATGACGTAGTAAAATGGAGTTGAAAACAAAATGGGAATTCGTGATGAGTTTGCATTTACGTGTCACGTCATGGTCATGTCGGGGTTATCAATATCACAGTAGCATCAATGACCTAAGCTGTTAAGGGGAAGACGTTACTTACTCGAGGCTACGGTGCGAGAAAGCAAAAACAAACCTCTTGGATCCCTTTGAGCATCGACTCGGGATCGCCCTCGATGGGAAATCGCCTGAATTACTCAAAACGATCTCTTCCAAAGCAGTCAGTGGTAGGTAAGGCCGAGTTCCGACTTCCGTTTCCAATTATTTAATAAATCCAGGTGGTTATTCTAGAAATAACCTGGCAGTGAGCTTGTTTACTATGTTCGTTTTGTATAAAAACGCGCGTTCCCTAATAATGTTACACATTGAACTGACAATGCAACAATTTCAAGCGTTCGCATTCTGTACTACACTAAAAATGATAAGGGTATGGTTTGTACCCGTGTTATGTCTAATAGTACACAGCATTTGCTACTGCATGGCGTTGTTCGATTACGTTTTGTCTCCCGCGTACCAATTAGACTTGGCCGGCGTGTTTTAAAGGCCGGTGCTATTGCCCTTGCAAGCAACCGCCCCGAGAACTAGACGCTGCAGAAATGTCTTTATAGACTCATTAGTGTGCCTCTCAATCCGGATGTGTCAGATGTCATGCGAAAGTATTGTCCACGATCAAGGACATGCCAAAGACTGGGTATCTCGAGAGTACTTTATGCTGGTTTTTCGGAAATTTGTTTCTGATGCCGAAATCCTCGATAATAACGACATTTTTCATTACATTTACCTACATACCTATTCGTAAGCCATGTATCTTTACATTTTTAGACGTGTATTTTCTTATCAATCATTCTTACCGCCACCTAGATTTCATTGTCGTACCTCCTTCTTGTTGTTTCTTTTACAATTTATTAAATTCTTGACAGTTATTGCGTCTACTGGTATAGATCTCAGACTGCGTTATTTGCAGGTCCGATTACCGTCTGCGGCAAACTTCAATTGGTCGCCATTTCCTCTCGAACCCGGGCTTCCGTTATCCAGTTGACAGCGATTTATTCAGTTGCCTGAGTTGTCTTGACCACCGTTTTTGGTTAGCTTTGCGAATTCGTACGCTTGCTCACTGTTTACGTTCTAAGCGCAGTAGAAGGCTTCCGATGTTGCCATTAGAAGCGAAGGGACGACCTCCAGGAGACACGATCATCGCTACAAGAGCTTTATTCGCCTGTCGTTTCGGATTCCTGATCGAACCCATCATCAGAGACAAAAGTAGATACGTCAAAGGAGCTGACGAACTATCAGATACAGGTTTTACGGCACGAAGCTTTATTCAACACGGCTGACGCCAAACCTGTTAGCATGATTGCAGCGGTGGAATCAATCCTTAAACAGACGGAGACAACGGAGGGCACTAACAGCCTCATCCGACACCAAGCGTCATCCCTCCTAATGGTCCACAGGCCGCGGGAAATGCTTTCCGAGGTCGAGCGTGATGCGCTTAGAAAACCCAAGGCCGACAAAGACCTAGACCTCGTGCGGTTTCTACAAAGCAAATAGGATGAAACGGAGAATCGTCTTGGGCACGCCCAAAATCTTAAGCTCCTGAAGTTCTGTCTTAGGACGTACTTCACGTTTGATCGGACAATCTACGAACAGGTGAAGGGCACGCTAATGGGTTTTGCCGATTTCGGGATTCATTGCCGAGGCGGCCCTACAACGGTAAGAGTCGCTGACCACAGACCGAAGTTGTCGGTCCGGTATGTGGATGATACCTTTGTCGTTATGTAACGGGAAAAGGTGATGACATCCAAAGAACATCTCAACGTCGCGCTCCCGGACATTCAATTTACGGTGGAGGAAAAAGAGAATGAACATCTGACCTTCCTAGATGTCCTTGTATGCTGCAAAGATTGTGACGGCCTATGGACCACAGTGTTCAGGGAAGCGACAAATACGATGCAAGTACTGAACTTCAACAGCAACCATCCAAACAGCCACAAAAGCAGTTGTGTGAGGAGGTTCTATCGGCGTATCGAAACGCACTGCAATGAACCGAGCTACAAAGCCCCCGACGGATCCTCAAAGCCAATGGCTTCCCGCGCAACTTCGTCAACCGGTGCATACGTGAAAGGGACAAAAGGCCTAACTGCAGGGACCCCAAATTTTGGCGAGCAGTTCCGTATGTTAAGAAGGTTTTGGGAGCTGTCGGCCGCCTTTTCGCACCATTTGGGGTTGGAGTTGCACATAGACCGGAGGCAACCATCAGACGTTAGATAATGAAACTGAAAGGCCAGCTGCCACGGCAAGAAATGTCTGGAGTCGTTTATCGGATCTGGTGTAGTTGCGGACAAAGCAACTACGTCGGAGAAAGCAGAAGACAACTCCGAACGCGAATGTCCGAATACGCTGCAGCCGTGCGGAGAAATGATGCCAGTTTTCAGGCTGGGGTTTAATCGACGAGATACGGCCACACAACCAAATTCCACGAGGCTGAAATTCTCGAACCAAGAGCTATTTAAGTCATGATTTGCTGGCTCCCAATCAATCAACAAGTGCACCGACCTTCCCTTTCCATACTCAGTGCTGAGACTTTGCCTAGGCGGAGTAATGAGGCACGCGGAGAGCGCACAGGGGAACAGTGTTTTCAACGCCAGCGTCGCTGGATCAGATGGTTGAGCAATCATCACACCAACATCCAACACACGTAACGGCGCGAATATCGACCATGAAATCATCATCAGGGAGTCACGGTGGCATGACGACTGCATCCTATAAATACTGCAGTCCCTTGTGCATGAACCATCTCTATCTACTTTTGTCTGCGATGATGGGTTCGAGCAGGAATCCGAAAGGAATGACGAATAAAGCTCTTGTCCGGGTGATCGCGTCTCCTTCTTCACACTTACGATGTTGTTTTACATTTTTCTCACTATCAATTTCTCGATTTCCTTTTGTGTGAGTCCGAAGGCTCTACCCGTATAAACTCTATTACCACCGTCCCCATTAGACAGGATCCTAAGGTTCTCCGTTGCTGACCCCGGGGACCAACGATGCCCTCACCCTTAATATGCCGTCTGGTTTCTGTTGTTATATAATAGAAATGTGGTGGTATACATCAGCATCAACCCACTCTTGCTCCTAGTGAGTAAAGCTTTCATTCCCTGGACTATCTTCTCGACTCGTAATTTTTAAGCTAGAACTCTTTCCTCGGCGTCGTGTGGCGCCGTCATCCGTCTGGACGGATGTTAATGGCCCTATCAGCTGCAAATGCATTTGTGTGAGGACGCTCTATCGGCGTATCGAAACGCACTGCAGTGAACCGAACTACAAAGCCCCCGACAGGTCTTCAAAGCCAATGGTTACCTGAGCAACTTCGTCAACCATTGCATACGCAAAAGGGACCAAAGGACAAACCGTACGGATTCAAAATTTTCACGAGCGCATCCGTATGTCAAGAAGGTTTCGGGAGCTGTCGGCCGCCTTCTCGCACCATTTGGGGTTGGAGTTGCACATAGACCGGGGGCAACCATCAGAGGTTAGATAATGAAACCGAAAGGCCAGCTGCCACGGAAAGAAACGTCTGGAGTCGGTTATCGGATCTGGTGCGGTTGCGGACAAAGCATCTACGTCGAAGATGGCAGAGGACAGCTTCGAATGCGAATGGCCGAATATGCTGAAGTAGTGCGGAGAAATGATGCCAGCTCTCAAGTTTCGGCTCCTTCGAAGAGATTCGGCCACACATTCAAATTCGACGAAGCCGAAATTCTCGCTGGAGATGACAACCGCATGAGCCACGCTTCTGCTTGAGTCATGGTTCATTTGCTCCCAGTCAATCAGTAAGTGCAACCACCTTCCCCTCCATATTCCATGGTGAGACTTCGTCTAGGAGGAGTAATTAGCCACGCGGGGAGCGCACAGGTGAACACTGTTCCCAACGTCATGGTCGGTGGATCAGAGCAATCATCACACCAGGTCCAAAGGACGTGATGAAATTGCAGCAATTAACGGCGCGAATACCGACTATCAAACAATCATCAGGGCATCACGGTGGCATGGCAACTGCAGTCCCTTGTGCATGAACCACCCGTATCTGCTTTCGTCTCTGATGATGGGTTCGAGCAGGAATCCGAAACGTCAGGCTGATAAA